GAGAGCAATTGTATTTTCACAGAGAGGACAGATCTGCTTCACACAAGGAGTGCAGCAGATCTGTTCAACACTGCTACCAGAAGAACAAATGAATATCATCTGGCCAGAATAAATACAGCCCAATTGCAACAGATGAAAGCATCTAATGAAAGAAGGGTTACAGTTCCAGAACAGCCTTCCAACAGAAGCACAGTTGAAGGAGCTCAAGTAATTTTAAGGAAAAAGTTATTTAATTTCAGAGAATTTGTAAGAACTTCAAGTCACAGAACCTGCAATACCAGGGGACTAGACTTAAAAGAGCACAGAGGGTCCCTTCCAGTCTTATGCGCATTCATGGCATGAGATTTGAAGACTGCAAATATACAGAAAATCAGTAAAGTATGCTACATGACATTGATGTTGTATTTAGAAGTATGGTCTATTTACCCATCTGTCTTAGTTCCTACCACATCATAAGAAAAGAGAGCAAAAGAAAACATTGAAATAAGTTGTTTTACAAACCAGATCTTGAATGAAAGTTGCACTGAGGCTTTGAGCAAGTCCTGTCAATGCGTTTCAAAAGGAGTTAGAGCTCATACGTCCTGTCAGATTTTTTAATAGGGCAGCATTACTTTTTTGCCTTGACTGTTGCACATCATGGCCATTTAGCTTGTGTATCATTTCAAGTTACACAGCAATGGTTACTGCAGTGCATTTCCTCAGGAAGTGTTTGTGGTTCACCATGAAATACAAAATTGTTAGAAAACACCCACTGCTTTATGTGATCTTTTGATTAAACAAAGCTACATTTATTACTTTCCCTCAGTTAAAAAAAATAAATCCCATTTAGCTATTTTATGGCAGTTTCCTCAACGAGACATATATACACATACATACTTATATGTATGAATATATATGTATGGATATGAACAGTAAGATAGGAGCATTTTTCTCAATCACAGAATATATGTAAAACAAGTGTTTTTAAATGGTCTGAATTTTTTTTAATCAGTGTTTCACTGGATACATATGAAAGCATCTTTGTGCCATTTCCCTTTTGTTCTAAGGCGGGAGGATGTAGAAGGAGCTTAGATATGACACAGAGAGAGGTTTCAAAGCAGAAGCCAATGATTCTCTCAACTTTCCTCCTTACAATGCAACCCTACTACCTACCAAGAACAGCATGCACAGGTATTAGCTAAAGTAAGTTCTTGCTTCTTTCTCAAGCTCCCTAATGGTGATCATAAGTTCAGTACCACAAACTGGTGGTTGACCCAGGATTGAAAAGATGGGCATCTTGTAGTGTCACTGCTTGGCAACAGAAGCCCTAGAATTAAAGGAAGAGGTCCTGGTCAGTGGCTCAGTCTCGCTCATACCTTATTGAGACGACTTATTTCACACTCATAGTGTTCTTTCTTTCTGATCATTGAGGCATTCTTGTGCTTCAGGAGCTTGTTCTCTTCCTTCATTTCATGGAGAGCTTCACTAAGAACCTTTGTTTCTTTCTGGGATGCAAAAGGACAGAGAAATGCTGCTGAAATGCAGATGGAACCGTTTTTCAAGAACAATTTTCAGAGTATCTGCTGTCTGGCAGATGTGCTGCATTTTTGTTGTCCCAAACACAGCTGGGAAGGGAGGCAACAGGAAGGCGGATGGTTAGTAAAACCCAGATATGATAAAGTCTGTTGAAATTGTTTTGACCATTCACCATATGATGAGACAGAGACAACACACAGACTAAATCCCTGCTCTCTACCGTCTGCAGTTGCACAAAGGCACAAGAAAGCTGGCAAGCCAAGCAGATCAGTACCATACAGATGATCATCCCAAATCTGCATTACTCTTACGGACTGATAGCGTAAGGCCAGGGCTAAACACTGGTGGGGTCCCAGCCATTCCTAGTGTCACACATCATTAAAGACAAAACCATATGTCAGTATCACATAGTCTGAGGGTTTTTTCCACTACATGAGAGACTGGGGCAGGTCTCAGTCTGCTCAAGAACTACCAAGCTACCAACCAAGGTTTAAAAATCTACTTTCCTTGACCCCATCACAGTTGTTGTTGACTTGAGCTTGACCCTTCCTAGTGCATGTGCCTATGCTGTTGCCACCCCAGCAAACTACAAGAAAGATGTCCCTAACTTGCAACAGGATTTATACACTAGTCTTTCAAGATGTATTATAGGAATTATTAGGACAGATTTGCTAAACTATAAGCGTGATTCTCTCCTCCTATCGCTTTTAGTGCGGCTATTTTCAATTTACAATGAAGGAAGCTAAGATCCAAATCAGACCCTGAAGCAAGTGGCATTTTGGAAGCTTCTCTCGCAGGGTAATGCATTCCTCACTAGCCCGTTTTGCCAGACTGTCTTGGACCAAAGCTGTTCAGACATACAAAACAGAATGGCCTGTTCTACAAAAAAAAAGAAGGAAGTATTTCAAATATTCTTCTGCAGCTGCTTTGTGTGATTAAAAAAATGAGATCCAACAATCACACGCAAAGGATACCATATGAATGCTTTTTTTTCTGTGCAACAGGCATATCTCTGTGCAGCCAGCAATTAGGCATTTACTGTTCAGGCCTATGAGAACTGCATCACCATGTGTTAAGTGAGCCAGTGAAAAACACCCTTGAGAAACTGCTGCTTACACATGAGAAGCTTTATCTTCCTTTGTTCTAGGTTAGTTGGAACAATTCATTTTCTCCAAAACCGGGCAAAATTAGCAGGGCATCTCTGCATTGAGTATAGGAACTCACCCAGAGAACTAGCTCAAGCTGGCATGTGCATGTATGTTTTCAGACACTGAAGAGAAACAAAACACAAAGATACACAGAGGCTTTTATCTATGCTCTTCTCTTCACCTTTGCCATCCTCGTTTCCTACCTCCTAGCAGACATTCTCCTTCTTGGAGGCTGACAACTCTAAGAACGTAGCCATTTATAACTAGAGATTTCCAGTTTGTTCAGGTTTTTGAACCATCTGAATTCTTATGTCTTATTGCTGCTTATTCAACTCTTAGGTGATATGGCACCCACACTTTCCAGTGACCAGGTCTTTGATTACTGCCTATGGGTACATACTCATGCCCAGTGAGAACAATAACAACAAAAACTTCAATCTCCAAACCAGTCAGTTTTCCTCTGTTGGCCATGAAGGACATGGGGACAGATAAAGTTCACAACAGTATAATTCTGTGAGAACTATACCTCCAACTGCATTAAAACAAAAAACCAAAACAACAGCAACAAAAAGAAAAAGATCTGTAAGACAGCGGCAGCATATAATCTGCCTCAGGGTTGTTTGGTGCTGCTGGTTTTCCTAAATGGCTCAGCAGAGCACCCAGAGAACTGCCACTCTGAGTAAACAAATGTAAAAGGTACTGTCAGGCTGCTGGACTAGATAAGCAAGTAGAGAACAAACATCTTATTACTTTGCTCTGGCAATTGCCCTGTACAGCCCATCCCAGCTCCGTGGCTATAGGGGAGTAAGTAAAACATTTAAAAAAGAAAGGGTTGCTATCTTTCAAGAAAATTAAATATATATATATACACACACACACATATATATATAAAACCAAATGCAAGTATGAAGAATGTTAGTTGCTGCAGAAAAAAACCCATCAAGCCCTAAAAACCTAATCTTGGTAGATCTGTCAGCTTGAGCTTCTTCTGCATCTGCTGAACTTTAAAGTAACAAGCCTGCTCACGTGCTTTCAGCTGAACATATCTTTATGCATTTTTCTGAATCATCCCCTGGCACTGCTTTTTCTTCATCCTGCCCTGTGGGCAGCATACCATAACTTGAGTTGGCACAGCTGCTGACATGGGTGTTATAATCCACATTGCTCATTCAAAATTCTCTACTTTTAGCAGCTATCCCTGCAAAGGTGTAGGTCTCCTGCATCCCTGCATGACATCCAAAAACTAAAGAAATTCAGAGTAAATAGAAGCACTTACTGGCTGAGTATATCATTTATAAAGAAATTGCTGATCTAAGGCTGAAGTTCCATGCATGTTAACCTGTCCCCATAAGAGATTTTTGGATTATATTGTTATTTAGTTCATTATTTATATATTAAAAAAATCGGGAGAAGGTACTACTCATCCTTACCTTTTCAACAAGGTAGGTAGGGCTATTTTTCACAGCTATCATATATTAAAGAGGAGGCAGTAAAAACCTTAGTAATATGAACAGGAAAAGGGATTATGTTGCATTGAATCCACGCTCAGAGAAAATACAGGCAGTGATTCAGCAAGTACACAACAACATAGTTTGCTTTAAAACGTATAAATAGTCCTATTGGTTGGAAATCAAAGCTTAGCTAAGACCATACCGTAACTGATAAGCAAGTAAGATGAATATTTTGCTTATGAAGATAAAAGCTAAGGGCTTTGCATTTCTTTTCCTGCACCAGCTAACTTACATCTTATCTAAGCCTGGAGGTGATGTAATTGCCACTTGTTTCCAGGCACAAAGCTTTGTCTATACCTTGGGCACATAATACGCCAATCAGTCAGGTCTGTGGTTTTACCGTGGTGGAAATTCAGCTTAGGGATCTAACTTTGGATGTGAATGCCTACACAAGAGCCAGTGCCTAAGGACTGCTTAACCACTTTCAGGGCAAGGTGAGCACCGCGCTAGAGCAGCTGATCAGCCCAGGCACTTTCAGCCTTAATAACTGCACTGACTACATCGCTAATATTTACAGGGAGCTGAGATAGCTAGCCCATGTATAAAAGCCTATATTGTCAATATCAAAACATGAATGTCTGGAGCTTCAAGTATTTATTGCCAAGCACTTTGTGTAACATCTGTAATGACGTTCCTATTTCATCTGAACACATTGTAGCATTTTTGTTCACAAAGAAATTCACCCCAAACTGAATAGCAAGGAAGGAAATCTCTGCAGTATTCATATCCATCTGCTCTTTACTTCCCCATGCACTCTAATGCCATGCTCTCTGCCAATTTCTATTGAAATGACTCTCTATACATAGTTCTCTGATCAGACACAGGATCAGCCACTACCTTGGGTACAATGTTGAAGAGTACTCAAAACACTACAATCTCATCTCACTGCTATGTGACAACCCCACACACTGCCACTCACAAGAAAAGAAAAGAGGAAAGGCGAGACAGCATTCAATACCGAGCACAAATGGGGTAACAACAGTGCACCCTCCTACCGTTTCCTGCAACGGCCTCTCTCTGCCCAGGGCTCGCAACCTCTCATCTTCTGGATGTAGACGATGTCTCTCTCCCTCCAGCTCACTGACTCTCCTCTCTGACACGTCCAGTTTTGCTTTCATTTCTGCCAGCTGAAAAGCAAATGACAGACCACGGTGGGCTGACTGGGGATCCTGAAAGGCACAGCACCTCGAAGGCACCTTCAAATCCTTTCAGTTCTCAGCAGATCTGTGTAAAGGAGTGGATCTGGTTGTGTCTAAATTCCCCAGCAACTGACCTTCCCCTCCCCACCTCCAAGCTCCACTGCTCTGTCTCCAGTGGAGACTCTTAATGATTCTGGGCAAATTATCTGTTGGGCTTCACACTACTTTGCTGCCAAAGGACAGCTACCATTGGTCTGTCCCTCCAAATGAATTTTCCATTTTAATGGGTTTTTTTGTTTTGGGATTTTTTTAATTTTGCAATTTGGAGTCTCTGTGCAGTGGCACACATCCCAGTGATCTAGCCAGAAGCATAAACCAGTCCCATATTAAATGAAGAAGAGTCACTTAAATTCCTCTTATCTTGGGGGGAGGGAAAAAAAAAAAAATCAAAGAAATGATCCAGATCTCAGTAAAGCTTACTGGAAAATACTACAGAGAAAATTCTCCTGCTGAGTACACAAGGTCATTCTGCAAACTTCCTTTTCATAGAAGGAAACAGGAGATGAGAAGTGTCGGTCAAGGAACGAACTTGTTTTTTGGAATATCAGGCAAAATTGTAAGCAGCCAGCTTCACTAGGCAGCTGATTATAATGTCTGCAGCAAAGATGCCACGCAGCCGCAAGCTAGGAATGAAATGGATCTTGTCATGAATGGGATCTTGTCAAAAAAGGAAATAAAAAGTATTCATTTACAATTTATTTTTTTAACGAAGAGCTTTTGTACAGAGCACTTTCTCAAACGCAAAAAAGCCTCTCTGCTTATAGAAGGCAGCATTCATGGAGAATTTATCTGAGAGCTCCCTCCTTACTGGAAGCCCCAGTGAGCTTCCAGGCTTCACAAGCCAGCCACAAGAGATGGGACAAGATGGGACATCATACAGTATGTGATGATGCAGATCAGTGGCTGGGCATACCATGCACTGCAGGCAAATTTTCAGTTAATTGTGCTCTGAAGCATGAGCAATTTTTATTACCTTGTGGAAGGCCTGAAGATCTCTGCTGCCACGTCCACCCTGGTCCCTACTATTTTAGGGATGCCCTGCTTCTCTGGTTACCTTGTCCTACTGAAGATTGTACACACATTAGCTTCACTTTTGTGTGATGAAGCTTTTTTAATTTGTGAGCTAAAGACAAGATATGATACCTTTCCCTCTTAAGATATTTACTATAGCTATGGCTGGTTGGTACTTAAGCACAGACTTAGCAGGTGGCATGCATATTCCGATAGAAGTAGTCAACATTGTTACCTGTTTTTCATAAAGCTGTTTCATACTTCTAAATTGATGATCCCATTGCTTGTTCACCTCCAGAAGCTGTAATTATCAGGAAGTCACAGTAAATAACCCTTATTTCAACATTGTCAATAAATAAAAAATAGACTGGCATTCTAATCCTCCAGCTATGAGTGTTCACAACCTCCTCATTATCTGGCCAGTTCATTTCAGAAAAAGCCAGTTTAAAGTTTGGCAAGCTTTACCGCCCATCTGCCAGACTGGTATTTCAGTTAAAGTACATAAATGTTCAGGAAGTAACATTCAAGAAACATGCAAATACACCATAAGCTACAGGTGAGTCATTTGCAACACTGTACAAATCCCAAGCTGCAACTCCTAAATGGCCAAGGACTTTCTTGTTAGTTTGCTTTAAGTCCCACAAACATATTTCCAATTAGAAGGTCTCTGACTTCTAACAAATGAAGACTCCTATTGACTGCAATTACTACTGGGTGCTAAAGCTGCTTGCCTTTCTCAGTACCACTAAACCGAGCAAGTGTATGTGTGCAAGATGGGAAAATTGGCTAACACAAGGCATGTAAGTGGTAGGAATGAAGTCGGCATGCATGCGTTTTTATTGGAGAAAGCCAAATAGGTCCCGCTGAAGCTTTTTGCTTTGTAGGATATAGGGGCACTATTTCGGATGCTCAGCAAAATAACAGCTTCCTGTTTGCTGCTACCTGTGACCGACTCCACTGGCTACTAATCACAGTGGTTCCTTGGCCTTAACAAAAGCAATCATTAAGAAAATTTGCCCTTTGTACCGTATAAATGTCTGCTCTTCTAGATTCATAGCCATGTTACAATAAGTCATCATTTGTTTTTAGGAACAGTTCTCCAAATATCACTCTGCCTAGCTTGGTAGAGAGAAGTAGGACTATAGGAACTAGTTTAAACATAGCTTTAAGTGCTTGCACACTTCAGGCTATGAAGAAATTCAAATCAGAAAGTCTCCACTCAGAAATTGTCTCAGGCAGGAGAGCGCAGAATGAGATTCCCACAGGAAAAACATAGGCCTTGCTGGACAGGTGGGTAAAACCAACTGCAGCATAAACACAGTGCAAGTAACAGTGGTAACGCATTCAGTGATTTCCTGCCCTAGGCATATTACTGATATTGTCATGTCTGTCTTAGAAGTTATATCTGTAAAGGTTAAGGGTAAACTTAAGATTACCTCTCGTTTCTGCTTTTCCAGTGAGAGGATCTGTTGTTCCAGAGGAATGGCTGATATTGTCTTCTTTTTGGTCAGTAATACGTGCCTTGACTGGAGAAAAGAAATGTTCAAAAACGAATGCTTTTGGCATCTTCTCTTCAAGTCAAGATTATCATATTAAACTCTCATCCGCTCAAAAAAAAGAAACTGAAACAGTGACCTTTTCTCACATTGCATTTGTATTTCAGTACCTTTACACCTGCTGACAACAGACTCTGAAGTGTACATCTGCTTTAACCGAAGTATTATGCAAATGGTCACTGAAATAAACAAAATTATGTCTATTTGTACCCATCTGAGACACAGAACACCAAATAGGATTTTAATTATCTTACAGATGGTAATACAAACAAGTAGTTCAAGCCACAGAAGTTGAGCATAAGTTAAGTGGGCATAAGTAATTCCCTTCATTTACAAGAACTAGAAAAACTAGTATTGCCCTTGGTAAGTGCTTGCAGGCCCAAGACAATAAACTTTGTCACAATGGGTTCAAAAGCAGCAATACAGAAAACAAATAGGCCATTTGGAGAAATTAGGAAATCAGTCTGCAATTGTTCCAGTTTTTAAAGTGTGGAGTTTTGCCCATGCAGGACAACAACAGCTAAACCCTCATTTTTATAAATGACAACGCTGTATATCATAATTTCCAAGAAGTTTCTATGGGTTGTCACGAAAACAACCATGTGATCTAGTAGAGATATATCTCTCAAGAGAACTGTACTGGAAAAAACATACGTGCTCCTAAAAATAAAACATACTATGTTCAGATATCTGGTCAGGGATTTTTTTTGCTCTCCCTAAATTCTGAACCAATCTATGAGAAACTAGAATAAAAGTGTGAGCACTTCTGAGGTCTTAAACACCCTGAAATAAATTTATTTTCTTCAGCTAGAGAATTTAATGCCAAATACCAATGAAGATCAAACAATAGTTTTGTTGTGTCTTTTCACAAGCAAAAATCCTGACCACATATTTGCCCCATGGCCAGTCCTGCTGAGCTCTAATGTGGAGCACTTGACTTCCATGTCAGAACATACTTAATCCCTCTTCCTGTAGAAGTTCATCAACATGTTTAACTTAAAGCATCTGAAGCAATTACCTTGCAGTCAATGGAGATATTCACATGTTGAATTGTTTTCAGAATCTAGGCCTGTCTGAGTATTTGAGAGTCCTGTTGAAGTGAATAGGACAACCCACAAATCTAACAGCTATATATACACACTTGGCACCATCTGGCCTGAATACTGCTCACAGAAGTTGTTGGGTCACTAAAATGAACCGTTTTCTACCGATTGTATAACAAATTAAAATGACCAGATACTTTTGGGGAGGGGGGGGGGAATCACTGGGGAAGGTTTTCTTTCTAAGAATGCTGTATCCAAACATATTTCTAACATTTCCTTCTACTCTTAAATAGTGTAAATCATTCAGACAAATCTACTGGAACACAAAAATAAGTTCATGATTGTCAATCTACAAAGTGACACACATGATACCTGCACCAGCTCAAGCCATTCCTGTTGATCAGACAGCACTTCAGAGGACAGCCAAAAGAGTCACTTACTTCTAGTGGGTCTGCTGGGGCTTCCATGTCACTCACAACTGCCCACGCACATCCAGAACGGCCTTGAGCATTTGTTTCACTGCGGGTCTTTGGAAGAAGAAGAGCAATGAAACAGATATTTTACGTTGGCTAAAAGAGCAGGAGAATTGCATTAAGACCCAGAAGATCTGCAAGTGCTGCCTGTGGAAGCAGCCCAGGTTCAGAAATAAGTGGTGGAATTTTGATTTTAACCTTTTCCTCCTTCCTGGCTGGGGCTTCCCAGCGGGCTGAAGCACACTGCCTATGACTAATATGCCGGGCAAGGCAGTACTCTACTTAGTGTGCATGTAAATAGCAATCAACTGGCCCTTTCATCCTGAGAGAGGAAGTTGCCTGTATAAGGGAAGGAAGGGTATGTTTTTTCAGTAAATAAGATGACAGGGTTTTCTATCCCTGCTTCCAGTTGTAAAAAAGGACTTACGTAAGTATGACAAGTATTAAGTGACACTAAGACAGTGTGAACTATCATGATAGAAAAATTAGTGAGTCATGCTCATAGAGGAGTAATAGCAAAGTGTTAACAGCTATGGGGAAAAGCACAACACAGAAACCCCAAGATGTTTAGGGGAAAACCATAACTGGAAAATTGATTTACTTTCCCTAAAGAAAAGCTACACAAAGATGAAGAATGACAGGTATTGTTGTTATTCTCTTAAGGACATTGTATTCACAGTTCTAGTACTTACCTTATCTAAGCATGAATCTAACTTCAAGCTACTCAAGTCTTCACTTGAATACTCAACGTACCCAACACTTCCAACTTATGTCTTAGTTTCCCATTTGGAAAAAGAGGTTAACCTTACCAAGTTAAACTCACACAAAAGATTAACAAAGAAAAGGCTTCCACAGATCTCACATACAATGTCAGGGCAAAATAGAAAAGTGCAAAGTATTGTTGACTTCAGTCTTGGAATTCTGAATAATGATAAATTTGAGAGGGAAGCACGAAAGAAAAATCATTTTCCTTATCGTGGAAAGATCCCTGGGTCTGAGGCTTTTTCAATGGAGGCAGAGGTTGTGTATTTCCTTTCCAAGGAATGGAATGAAAGCTAGCCTGTGAAATTTGACATAAAATAATATAGTCTGAGGGAGTTCTTTCAATTTCCAAAAAAAGATTTAGACAAAGTAAAGTAATCCTGTGAAAGCTGGAATTCAACAGCCACATTCCCAGATCTGTGGTTCATAACATGTGACTAAGCAACTCCTCTTTTGCAAGATACAAAACACAACTTGGAAGAAAGCTACTATTTTATACCATTTGCATATGAAATATATCCTCCGTACCCTGACATTCTTTTTATTTTTTCCTGGTTTATAGACTGGCTGGAAAACTTATGGGATATAAAGAGAGAAATCAAAAAACAAATGTTATCTTAATAAAGACATTTTAGATTCTACATCGGAGTCATCCTACCCATCAAAAAATATCCTTCCCAGGCACAGCATTGGTTTAAAGAAGGAAGAACTACTGGCTGATAACACAAGGGCAATTTCCTCAACTGCATTTCTTGACGTTTCCGTAGAGTTTAACATATTGTAAGAAATACGAGCCAGTAACTGTCAGGTAATGAAACCAAGTAAACCAAAGCAAGGTTGAGTGAAACAGGAAGGCCATCCTCCGGGACATGCGAGAAGGCCAACTTCTAAAATGAATAAATATGCTCTGCTACCTGAGAGAATGTAGTAATAATTAAACCATCAAATCCCCATAGTGGAGAAGGAAGAGGAAGCACCACACATTTAAGAAAGAGGTCGAGTATTATAACATTATTAAAAGTTAATGTCAATGTTCTTTGCAGAAGAAGCAATAACCCTATTATACACATAGGGAAACAGACCAACTGAATGCTGAAGTTCATCCAGATGTTAGTGCCAGATCAGAGAATGATGTTGTCTCCTTTCAGCCATGGTCTGTCCATCTGTCACAGCTGCATTTGCAGCAATCATTTGCAGGCTGTTACTGCATAATTTTGTGTTCTGACTGTACTTAAGTTAGGGCACATGAAGAGTCAAGAGTCAGCTGCTGAAGGAGAGGGTACTGTAACTTGACACAAGTGACATGAACAGCAATTATCTATCATCTTCTCACAATGTCCTGCTACCTTGCACTGGCCTGCTACAGTTCTATAGATTATAAACTCATGGAGTCAGAGTCTGTCTCTGTCTACAAAGTACCAACACTGAGCATCTGATTCATAAAAATACAATCAGAAATCTTCCATGTTGCACATCTGCTCTCAAGGGCAATGATACTCAAGCACAGACACCTTGCCTCACCCCAGCACTTGAAACTATTGAATCAAATACGCAGTTTTAAATGACCTGGAAAATTCTAGTTGAAAACCAGACTGTAAATGCAGTTGCAAACCTGAACAACTGTTTCCAGATCCAAGCAAACTTTCAAAGACCTGTTAAAGTTTTCCAGCCCGAAGAAACCGGACCAGTTAAAGAATCTGAAGGAAAATTTGTCCTAGTGCTACACAGTCACAGGAAGGTCAGGAAGCTTCTGCAAAAATGACAGCTGAAGAGGGTGTCTGCAAAGCATGAACAGGTCTGCACAGAACACCAGGAAAGTAAATTTTGGAGGAAAACACAGTTAGCAGTGTTGGCCAAAGGTAACAGAGTATACGTTTGCTAGCTGCTGCGCTGTTCGGCAAATGTCTACAGAAAAACAGAGAAGATACCCAAGGAGAAACCAAGCGTGCCTGTTTTGCACAGTGGGAACGATGTCAGCCGTGCACTGTGCTGAGGGGACGTCCGTTGGTGCTAACGAACGTGAGCGCTCCCCAGGAGCTGCCTAAGCCACTCTTGCAGCCAGGGACTGAAATGGCACCTCAGACGTGGGCAGTATCCCAACTACATACAGGCTGGACACTGCCATGCAAATCAGCACCATCTCTAACACTGCAGTAAAGGTCTTGTGGGGAAAATCTAGTCACACTCTTGTTACAGACAGCTAAAAATCAGATTTTACTATGGTGAAATCATACCTACTGTAGCTGCTAATGTGCAAAATCAAGACTTGCTAAATATGATGTAACAGAGTGACAAACTGGTCAGCAAGTTTTATAAAGTCCAACCTAATGCTTGCATGAACCTTAATTTCCCTGATTTAGTCTTTTCCTCTTTAAATGAGCAAGTCAGTCTGTGTCATGGCATTTACTAGTTACACTAAAAAAAAAAAATCACAAGAAAACAGACTGCAGGAAATAATCTCTGGAGTGGAGAAATACAAACTTGGAAACCTCTTACAGTATAACTGCCTCTGACTTCTCCATAATCACATGTAAAACCACATCATAGTCTGCAGTGGTCAAAGCTGTGTCACTTTTTATAGCCTCCCTAAAATACACAGACACACAGGCCTTCATCTAGCTGGCATCCATCACACATTTTAGAGCAAGAGCGTAACTAACTTACATTCTCTTTTCATCCATTTCTCATCCCTTACTCCTCCTTCCCTTCTCTCATGTTCCTTCTACCCATCCCAAATGAGGAAAGAAAATGTCATTACTCCTACTGCTGGGCTGTAACATTAATTGTAGTATCAATCACCACTGAATATAAACAAATCTTTCTTTACATTTGAGCATAGTTCAAGTAGACATGGAAAACAAAGGAGAGAAACAGAGCAGAGTCTGCTCTCCAGACAAGCAAATGAAGTGCAGTAGCTTAAGAAAATGAAATTAATACAACAAGAACGATCACTTTCTCTTTGGAGAGCTGGTGACATCTGGCTCCTCCTAGAAGAGTGGTTGATAATTTCTCTTCTAGGTGTATTATAAAAATACTTCCTTAATGCCCACATGAGCTCTTCTGTTCTTGGCTTCCACTGCTCTATTGCTATTATCAAAACATGTTTAAATGTATTAAGAAAGCACTATAGTGAGCAAACCTGCACATGAAAGTTTGACTAAGCGTATGAAACCTTCTGTAATATCTGTGAATTATAATTTAAAACATTTAAATTCTCTTAAGCAGCATGAATTCTTAGTAAGACCTTTATCCAATTTTCTCCCACTCCTCACACTTTTTTTCACCCTATTCATACTCATACTTAGCCTATGAAGCATTATCCTTGGTGTTTACAATTTTTGTTCTGTGCTACAGAAGAGCATGGTTACAGAAGAGAATTGGCCATGTATTTTTCAAAATTCATCAGGCAGCTCTAATCACTACGGCAGATGATACCTGTCTTATCCTTCTTTTTTGTTCATAGCTGTCTTGTATTACTTTAAAGACTGGGGTGAAAGGGGAAACAATCCTCTTTTATGGCAATCAGTTTGAGCACGGTCAGAAAAGAAAGTTTCAGCTACTTTGGAGCATGGCTGTCAAGAATGCCTGGCAGGGAGCTGGTAGCCAGAAGCTCCTGTAGAGACACTGCTGTGAAGAGCTGGAATAAGCCAGTCAGCTACCAGGCATGGAAAAAGCTTCCCAGGAAGCAAACGGGACCAGGCAGGATTTTCTGCCCCTCAGAAGCTCACTGAGTGAACTCACAAGTGGCAGCATACAACCCTGCCTGCAAGGGTGAAATGGGTTCAACTGCTTTGAAGCCTTTTATTAATTTCTGTTCTATTTCTATGATATTCTGTAATTACTATTAGTAGCAGCTTTGAGTTTGGGGTGGTTTTTTTCCCTGTTTAAAAATGAGAATTATTTTAGTTTGTATTCTAGGAAAACTTGGTCTTTCTAAGTGTAAAAGCCTTTCAAGTCATCTTCAGGAAGTTTGCAATGGAAAAAAAATCAAAGCCTTGCAGCTATGGCCAACACTGAATCCTCTTACAAGCATCAGCATCACAAGAAGATAAAAGTTCTCATTTTCAGAGTGCTGGATCTTTATTCTGGGAAAGGCACCTGTTACAGTATTACAAAATAGGTACTCAAGCCGCTCATCACTTGTGAAAATTCTGTCTGTTCAGTAACTGCAGTGCAACCAATAACCATCAAAATGCTTAATTCAAGAAAGTGAATCTTTCCTTGATGATGACAAAATGGTAAAATAGTCTTCTTTTTTTCTTCCTAGCTGATCAGCTGTCTGCTATGAGGTTTGTTGGGGTTTGTTTTATTTATTGTACTGTTCAGTTGCAGAACTGTAGGAGCTAAATTTACTCTGAGATTACTCAGGTTAAAATTTCGTGACTTCTGGGGAGCCTTCTGTTTGCTTACATTTTGGTCAAGCTTTGCTCTTGGCTTTATTCCTAAGGCTGCTGCTATGCTAGCAGTGCTTGCTATGATATCCATTGCAACTCCTTTTCCCAATCTGGTGCCCATGGTAAAAAAAAAAAAAAAAGAAAAAAAAAAAGAAAAAAGAGGTTGTAGTTGAAGAACACAATCAGGTCTTAAACCAGAAGAAGAATCTACCTCTTCCTCTCTAAAACCGGTCCACGTGCTTCACCCAGAAAAGCATGCTAGAAAGGGATTTTCCCTTAAGTATGTCAGCATCAACCTTTTCTGCTGTTCAGTTAGGTACTCAGTCTGACAGAAAAATATGTGCAGATGCAAATGTGTGCCTTAATATGTGAGAACCAGATAAAATTAGAGCAAGATGTGGTTTCAGAGTAAAACATAGCACAAGCTTCTGTTTCAGGACTTCCTTCATCCACTGTTTTCCATCATCGCCACTGAGACTAAACAGAAGGGCATGGCTACTCAAGTACCTAAGAATTTGCAAACTCAGGCTTCATGATTAAAATCCCAGTTCCGTGGAACAGTAACTGGATGACAATTTGTAACTGTAGGTAACGGGCTATTTTGAGTTTTACAACATAGTCATTGCAAGTACAGATATCCCTTTTTTTTTTTTCTTTCTCAATTCACACCCAAAACAGTTTACGTGCTTGAAAGTTTACTGGTTTGTTGTTGGCATTTTTTGTTACCAATTGATCTCAAAATACACTATCTCTGTCAGCTTCACTTTGTGTTGACACAGCACTAATTATTTTAGTTGCTATTCTTCCCTTCTTATTTCATACTTTTATCCACCCTCACCTCCCCAGAAAACATCCTACTTTATGTAAAACCTTGATGAAGCCCTAAACATACTGAAAACACTCTGCATGAGTACTTTTTAATAATATTTGTATTTTGACACATAGTATTTAGTCCAGCTTATTCCAGTTGAAAGTACTACAGACAAAGGAATCATAGGCTGAAGGATGTGCTGAGAATTAGTTAATTCTGCAGAGCTACATTTTCTCTCTCTCAAATATTTGCCTTTAAAACCACAATAATATTATATATTTTTATGGAAAAAAATCCTGGTGAAAAAGGGAATTTGTTTAAAGTCATTTCCAGATAACAGTCTCGAAAGTGATTTAAGCTCAGAAGGAAATGCCAGTTTGCAGCATGCAATTTATACTCTTCACTCCAGAAAAAAAGTTACAGAATAAAAATTCCTTACTAGCTCTGCCAAATAAGTTCCGGATGAATGACCAACACTATAGGGAAGGGTACACTTTTGTTTCATTATTAACTTTTTCCTAATTTTTAAATGTAGAATTTCCCTCTCATTTTAAGTCTAAATCAGCATTTCATTTCACAAACTGACATTTTCTGGGTTTTGTTTGGGGTTTTTAATACTATTTTATAAGTTTCATTACTGAAAGTATACTAGGTTTGTTAAAAATATTACCTCCTTTTCCAAAACACACAATCCATGTACTCCTAGCATCTTATACTGAGGTTGTTGGAGCTTATCACCACAACTGTCAAGATGTCACTCACTTAAAGTCCGGCCAAGTGAAAAGCTGTTTGACTTAAAAGCATAAATAAAAAATTGCCAGTATATTTCTAGCATAAACCTTCCTCCTTTAACCTATGAAAACCACACACACACACCTTTCACAGGCAAACAAGTGCTATAAATGCAAATGGCTTAAAAGCACGGCAGATTAAATACTGCCATGGTATTCTGTGTGAAGTGCTGAAGCACCTCATGGAAACAGTTGAGGTGAGCACATCCTTTCTGTTTCCTCCCCCCACTCTCCAAATCCTT